GTGTGTGTGTGTGTGTGTGTGTGTGTGTGTGTGTATGCACATGCATACCTTTGGTATCCCAGTGGGGTCAAAGCGGAGAACCCGCTGGTTGCAGCACGGATATATTCCTGCACCGTGCCAGCCTCTCTCTGTATCCATGCCAGGGTACAGGACGCTGTCTGGGTGGTACTTGCACTGCGTCAGCTCTGCACATACAAACACCTACACACACACACATACAAATGATTTTTACAAGTATATCCTGCACGCACTCTTACTCTGTTCACTTTCTCTTTATTATTCATTTTGCTCATTTGTGCAACACACACACTATAACACTCCAACCTGCTGGCATCGGAAGCAGGTGAGGTAGTTGATGGTACCCCAGATTCTCCAGTAAACCAAGACCCAGGACTTGAGCTCCTCATACAGGCCTGTGATGTATTCGTGCACATCCCAACTCTTCTGTCTGCACACACACACACACACACACACACACACACACACACACACACACACACACACACACACACACTGTGATCAGGAACTCAGCCAATCAAGTAAAAGGTTTAAAACAGCCATTAAAACATGCTGCTATACCTGATGTGTGTATAGATGATTTCTCCACGAGCGTCAATATTGATTTTGCCCGGAACACAAGAAATTTTCCTCTCTGTGTCTTTGGTCAACAGCTTAAGGCACAGACCACACCTGGGATGAAAAGCAAGGATGACAAAGAATATAAATTAAATTAGCAGAGAATATTCACATGCTCGCTACACATGTCAGAGCATAAAAAGAAACACAATGCAAAAATAAAAAGCTTATACTCACCTGTACAGAGTTGAGGCATTTCCAGGTGAATCTCTGTTCTGGTAGTTTGGGTCAAAGAGTCGCTCAATTTTCTTTTGAAACAGTTTGCTTTGAGGGTGAAAGACAAGAAAGGATCAAACTTGAGCTGATATTGCATATATCTTAATAAAAGGTTATAAAAGTATAAGCCACTGTTGCTTTAGTAAAATTATACCAGGTGCTTTTGTGACAGTAGCCTTTGTGCTTGTGCTTCAGTTATTTAATGCAACATATGCAATATTTCTTTTATTGGTGTTATATGGAGAAACTGTAACCTGACAAAACTTCAGCGTAGGAATCATGTAAAAAAGTCTGACACTTCCTAGATCTTTCGACTGAACTGGCTAAAAAGAGAAGTCACTGCATTGTTCTCTACATCGAATCTGTGGAGCTTAAAGAGACCATCTGTCTGCAGCTGAACTGCTGCAGCCGTCATAGTGTTACTGACAGAACTTTTAACTTGTCTGTGATCATTGAGAATTCGAGGAAATATACTATTACACTGGCAGATGCTCATACCAAAAGCTCAGGCTTCAGTCAGCGCTGAATGAGTTTAAGTTTTGGTTCGTGGTTATTTAATTATTATTTCATTTGTCTCAGCTATAGTTACTTTGTGATTTGTTTTTGACACTTCTCCCTGTGCATCTTTTGTAGATTTATTCCCAGTCTTTTCCTACTTTTTTCCTGTCCCACCTGTTCCTACCTGTGTCCCATTTCCCTACAAAGTCTCAGTGCATATATTTGTCTCCATCCCCTGTCTCCACGTTGTTCCTGGTGTTGCTTATCTGCATTTGAGTCCTCATATTGAACTGAAACACAACTGCATTTAATGGCAAAAGAAGATGTTCTCTGCGGTTCGAACCTTCTGTTTGCTATGTGCAACAAATCAGAAGCAGTTAGCACAAATGGAGGGGGAAGAAGCTAAAATGGCTTGTTTTAGATTAAGACTAACCCTAACTGAGGGTCCACGCTGAGGCCCGGCGTTAAAAAAGGATTATTTTGAAATGCGAATGATGCAAAGCTGATTCACAGCTTTGTCCAAATATTTATATTCACAGAGACCCAGAATACAAATACGGTGCCGAGAATAAGCAAAGCAGCTCGCCCCTCTTACCTTTTAAACTTGTCCTTTTTGTCCCTGATGTCGTCGGCCTCGTTGTGGCTGAAGAGTTCAGCGATCCGTGTGGCCAGGTTGCTGTTTATGCAGTTCATGTTGCAGGGAGTAGCCACAATGGCACTCATGTGCTTGTGGCAGTACTGGATGCACTCCTCCACCTGAGCCAGACGCATATACAGAGCACTCATCAAACAAAAATGGGAAATGTCCTTTCAACAATGCTCCGTCCAAACCATGTCAACACTTCTTTAGCAGTTCTAGCTCTTCTTAAGAGTAATGGTGAGAAAACACTGCTACCATAACTGCACGGGGGCAAAAGAACATCTGCACTTTCATGCAACACTAACTTAACAAAGCTCTGTGTGTAGGCCTCTTGTTTTTTTGTCGATTAGGAGCAATTACCCATTGTTACCTTTGAACTATCATTCTACACACTGCCTGCGCCTTACTGGGCAAATGTGAGACTTTTGCACCTTTGCTGTAACATTTTTTTTGGATATATCTAAGAAAATGTGTTCACAGCTGAAAAACAAAAGGCCCGATGCACATCACCACACCTTGCGTCACATGTCACAACACTTACTAACGTGTCCATCTTCAAGAACTCGGAGGAGATCAGGATTGAGATCACATTGCTGGGCTCTGTAACCGACAAATACCACATGACCAACCAAGCAAACCCCACGAACGACAAACAACACAGAACACGCAGCCAGTGACGCACCAAACACACACCACGTTTAGTGACCAATAAATCAAGCGCCACAGGTGGTGTAAATGACAGCTTAGGGATGTGTAATAATGTTGATTGTTTTCCGTTCTTGTTTCTTTTTACCAAGTCGGGGTTTGTCCTTGTTTCCCTCTCCTGCTGAGTTCCTCCTGACGTAGTTCATAAGCCAGTCAAAGATCTGCACGTCACAGTGGACTGAGATGTCAACTTCCTCCCACCTCTGGGGGTCCACAGATAAATATTCAGCAAAGTAACGCATCTCCTTGACCAGAAGATCTCTGGGACAAGTGAAGTCCTGCTTCAGGTTCTTGGTCTCATCGCACACATGGATGACCATGTTGGGACTGTAGGGAAAAGCCAAAATAATATTCAATCATATTCATCCACAGGGTGTGATTAACGCTGAAAACATTTCCACTTTAAGATGGAGTCATGTTTATAGATTCGATTTTCAAAGGATGTGTGAGGAATCTCTCTTAGCTCGGTTCACTGTGGTATGAAAAGATATCTCCCAGCGTACTCTCGTGGTTTCTGAGGTTTTTCATCCTCCTCTGCTGACACTCCTTTCTCTTTCTTCTCCACAGCAGCACTTCTTCCTGTGGACTTCAACTTGGACCCTGTACACAAAAACGTTGGAAAAAACAAAACAAAAGTAAGGTTGTCATGCAGCATGAGAACAAAAATCATACTACACCCCTCTAATTTATTAGAGTCTTTCAATTATGTGTTTCATAGGGGCCTCGGAGCACTTCCGCAAACTAAATAGCTGTGCTGGAACTTACACCATCATGTAACCCATAAAAGAAATCTCTTATTCAAAAGATGTTTATGTGTTTGTGTTTATGTTAGTTGAAGTTTTCAATTTAGAGAAAAAAAGGATTAAACTTAAAATATAACCTGTGATTAGAGTAGAATGCCATTTAAACTGCTTATAGTAATTCCAATCGATTATACTGTAACACATAAAATCACATCCAGAATAAGTATCTGGATGATTTTTGTATTTTTGACTCTATATACCATCTGATTGGTTCTGTAATTCAGGCTAGCAGGTCTAATTAAAATGCAGACTTAAGTTACAGAGGGTTTAACAACAGGATCACATTCATTGTTTAGGAATTGGAGATATTTTTATACATTTATACATTTTTGGTTACTTTTGAGAGACACTCAGAAGTAACTGGACAGCATTCCTCATTATTTGATGACAGTGCAAGAAAGATATATGGCTTCCCATGTCTTTGGACTGTGGAAGGAAGCCAGCATAAAACAGGAAAATATATAAAGCCCAAAAGTGGTCAACTTATATAAATACAACGATACTCTTATCGATATTGAACCGTTCGACACAGTGCTTTCGCTTCGTACGCACATGTATGAACAATACAAAATTTGTAATTTATTTTATCAACTTTCCTTCTGACGATGCTGTCTGTGTTGAGCGCTCAGTGAATCTG